GAGCACTCTGAATTCCAGCATGTAAAGTACTGACACCAGCAGAGCTGTAGATCGGATTGATCGGAAATTAACCAATGAATAGGAATTTTGATCAGTAAATTAAAAATAAAATAAGACTACTAAATTCTAGAAAATTATCTCTACTACATGTAATTGAAACGGACACCACTGTGCGCCGTATGCCGTGTGCGTATACATATAAATAAATAGATAGATACATTACATAAATTAATAAAATGCTTCTCATGATCAGTGTGTATATATGTTACAAAGACGAAGATCAATTAAAACATTTAACAAATAGAAAAAAATAAAGATTGTCTCATACCCGGTAAAATAATAATAACGATAGTGAATAGTCGAGTATTCGTCAATAGAGTAGTAACATTTTTCAGATAGAAATCTTCTCAGACGTTTCTTCAATATAAACATGTAGATGCTTCTGAGGTACTCAATTAATAATGCTCATTTCCATTGGACTACAAGGTAGCACGTGAATATAGTCAAAAATAGACATACAGTGTATAAAATAAGCAAGACAACATTACATAGCCGGAACAAACTATAACAAGAAAACAGGTTTTCTATAAATATCTATTTTACAACTTTTTATCTCTTTTACATGGTCAGCCACTTCATCGTACATTTAAGCGAGTATGATGTTAGGCATTTTTGATGTGAAAGTAAGCCAAGCTCAAGGCCACAGCAATTCGTTCAAAACTTGAGCGCAGTTGCGATATCGTTCCGTTGCTGGGTAGCATTGCATATGCTGTCTTCTCCTCAGGGCCCCCATGGCCCTGCTCTATTTGCATAGAGGTTCGCTGCTGGATGCTGTGGTTTGGTATATGCAATTAAATACAAGGCAAATGAAGGCGGTAGGAACCGAAATGGGAGGGCTAGAGGTACAGGGGGCGATTTAGCAAATTCTGATTCCTGTTATTACCTCCGCCTCACTACACAGTTTAATTGCAACTATGTGTATGCTTTTGGTTCAATTTAACGTTTGCTTACAAACATATGAACCAAAAGCTATATCAAGTGGTTGCTAATGATGACATGCACGTTTAGTCAAACTGTTGGAATTATGTTACCGGGCGCTATTGCTTATAGAAGTCACCTTTGATGTCCATCAAGGGCAACACGACCACGGTGCGTTACATCCAGTAGGTGAGAGAATCACATGTTTTGTCTTATACTCGTATACGGATGCTCACCAAGACACTTTTCCATAGTCCATTTGGAAGATAATCAAGTCAATTTGTTATTATGTTATAATATCACTCCGTTAACCCAATCCTCCACAGACTCCAGCGACACTTCGGCACGAGCAACAAGTAGCCTGGGATGAGACTGCTCAAGAAGGAGGTTAGGAGTATGCCCAGAGTACATAAACATCGTGGACCCCGACAAATTATGAATTTTTTAAATTTTTTTCAACGGTTGCATTTTTCTGAGATTTTGATTAATTACTTACCTAACTCATGTCACAAATGGTTGTTAACTAAACATGGTGCTTTCGTCCATCCGACCAAAAAGAAAGCCAACCATGGACAGCTGTTATGGGCTTCTTGGCTAGTTATCATTGAGGTCCAGGCTTGGCCTCTTGTCCATGGACAAACGATCGAAAACTTCGCAGCTATCCTCTATAAAGGAGGTATGGTCTATCGAAATAAGATAGCGCAAAGCACCATCTTTGACACAGGGATCGACCACTGAGGAAAGCGCATAGCTGTTATTAGTTGGAACTGTTAGGTCGGCCGGACGAAAGCATCATGTTTAGTTTATTCAATGGCAAGAATCGTCAGCGATCTAGCGGTCACATGGTGACTGGGCTATTGAACGTGTACTGAGATGCCTAGCAGTTCAAACTAATAACAGCTATGACGTCTTATTTCAAAAGGTTGATGAAATAAATTCATTACTACTAGGTGTTCGTTCTTTTTTCTATGTCACTTGATATGTACATAAGACGGGCCTGCTCTTCCGTTTACCTTACGTCAAACGTTGACTTCAGATACAATATTCTTTCTCAAATGTGGAGCATCCACCATGTCGCCGTACTAGGACTGCCGAAGGGCGAGGATAAAATAAATAGAACTCAAAGGGTCCTTGCTGGAATAACTTCGCCTTAGCGCACAGTCAGACGATGTCAATGCGTCCTTTATGTTTATTCCGATTTGAACAGTAAATTGTTACAGAAAAATACGTTTTCCGCTGAAAGAGGTTTGTGCATGAATTTGATTCGAGTTCGACTGCCAGCGATGGAATGGATTTCCAGAAAAATAATATTTCTGCCTTGGAGAAATTCTGCTAAGCGGGGTTTATTCTTTTTTAGTCAATAGCTCCGAGATGACATTTTTACCAAAAAGTTCTACGCCGTTTATTGTGAGATCTGTTTGAATCCTTTCGAGCGTAGTCACAAGAGATAGAGTATTAAACGGGCAACATGCGAGGGTAATTTTTAGTAGTAAGTAAAAACCGCTTTCTGTTATGGGGTCAGAGCTCTACTTATGAACATAAATAATTGTAGCACAAACTGAAATATGGATATTTATTAATTTTTCAACATAGTCACATTCACTTGTCAAGTCTTGGCACCAGCTTTTGGATCCCGCCGGCAAAGAAAGCTGCCGCCTGACCGTTAAACTATTTAGTAACTTCATCGTAAGCGTCATCACTTTCCAAGAGATTTCCGCTAAGAAACTCCTTCAGTTTTCAAAAAAGATGATGCCAAGGCTTGTTGGTTCAGAATCCAGTTATCACTAACAAAACTGCCTCTGTGTTCATGGAGCAAGCAACGTGAGGCTGAGCGTTGCCGTAAAGCAGAATTATAGCAGGATAAACCTTTTTGCACTTAAAAGCTGAATTATTGAGCGGCCTGAAGTTTACTGAGTTACATGACCACAAAGAAAGCAATAAAACTACGCAACCAACACTGTGACAGAGACGAGGAACGCAATGGCGGTAATTTCCATCCATTATGGCCTCCCAGGGAAGTTTTGCAGATGGGACTTCCTCTTTGTCCGCAGGATATCGGTCGTAATTAACCCCTATCCTCTTCATGCCACAGTGTCAACGCGGATGTTTTGGGTTTTGACTTGGCTTCGACACTATTTCTATTACATATTCACGACCTCCTTTCAAGTACGATCAATTCGATCGACAGATTTGTTTATGACAGCATTCTACAAGATTCGGAGTTCCAGTGAGCTGGAGAAGAAGACTAGCAGCGACTTCCTCTCTGAGGAGGTTGTCGTGCTACCAAAACACAGTGCTGAACCTTGACTAACAAAAGCGCCCTAGCGATCATCCGGTTTGGATAGATGGCCTAGTTCAACCAAAGACGCGTGTATTTCAGCTGATCGGTCCAGATCATAGAAGAGTTGATTTGGCATGAACACATCTCGTCAATCATTGTAGCTGCTGGGAAAAAGCTAGGTTATTTGTTTGGGGCTGAAACGTACAAGGCCCAGATAAGACCCAGCCTTGAGTACTGCTCACATAAATTGGGTGTTGCCGGCCTTGATAACATTATCTATGCTCGATGCTATTCAGAGGAGGGCTGTCCGACTGATTGATGACTTTTCTCTATCGGACAACCGCGAGACCCTTTCGCACTGGCGGGCCGTCATCGATCTGGCTCTTTTCTATCGCTATGTTAACAGGCTCCGAATCCTCAGAGCTCTCCTCCACGATGCTCGCTCATTGATAACTGGCTATACTACCTCTCCTTTGTCTATAGGGTTTTCAGATTCTGGAAGTATCTACACGGGGAGGCTTTTCCCAGTTCTACTAACCTAAGGTAGCCTAAAAATCGGAGTGGGCAGATATGCGGCGACTTCAGTATAAAAGCGATATAAGAAAGGTGGTGAAAAAATTTTTTTAAACCTAAACTTCACCCTCTTTTTTGACTAACCTGTACGACCTACCCACTAATCCATTGGTCTGAATTTGACATTTTCTACACATCATTTGATACGCCTCAAAAGCGGCCAGACTCACTTATGGCCTGATGTACATATCATCTACGAGTATTTATAATCATGCGTAGACTCAAAAACTGAATAACATACAGGGTATTCTATTTAAATAAGCAAGGTGGTATCTAATTACCCGGTACAACCGGAAGTGACGCCACTTTGAAAATATTTTAATGGAATTGTTATACTATAAACACAAATTTTCATATTTCTTATTGAGTAATAGATCGATACAGTTTTACATGGGATGCCCTTTTTAGTCACGCCTATCCTTTAAGGAGCAATATTCTATCTGATTGTTTTATGATGTATACAGAGATGGCTAAAAAACAATTATAATTTTTTGGTCAAAGAAAATGCATTTCTGTGCATTTTATTTATACTGTCTTCTTCAATTCTAACTTGTATAGCTAAATTGTATGTCAAAATTCCACTTATAGTAGAATTGAGCAGGTGATTAGTTTTATTCTTATCACTTTTTCTCTTCAAATAATCTTTGAGTTTTCAAGAAAATCAAAGATTTTTTGAAGAGAGAAAGTGATAAGAAAAATTAACGTCCGCTCATTACTCCCATAAAAGTGGAATATTCACATACTATTTTAGAGCTGTACTATTGTTTAAAGTTACGATTGAAGAAAAAATGCATAAAAAATGCACAAAAATGCATTTTTCTACAAAAAAAGAAACATAACATTGTTGCTCAGTCATCTCTATTCACAACATGAAACAATCAGACGAAAAGTATAAAGAAAACAATTCCTGACAGGCAGTTGACGAAAAGGGAGATGCAACGTTAATTTTTGGAACCTAAGACTTGAATTGACGAGTGAATGATTTTTTTGATAAACGTCGGTCGACCATTAGATCCTAATAGATAAATAGAAAATAAAGCTAGTGCTCCACTGGTTTCTAGCACTAGAAATAATGCATCTGGCTCCTAAGGAACGATCATTCGGCACATAAAAGCCAGCAGATAAAAACTTGATTGTCGACCGATTCGGAGTAAATCGATTCTATTAGCGCAAATTAAATGCAGTTGACGGAGTGGATTTGCAGAAGGAGTACATCGGAGTTTACGAGCTGGTAATAAAAGTTGCGCTGCCCATAATGGCGAGATGCAGGCGAGTGCCTGGCACAGACACCGTCTGGGCCGCGCGGTTCAAATTGGATAACGCAGTGGGGGTTCAGCTGAATGGTTAAACTTTCGACTGGAAAGGTGTCTGCCGGAAAGCTTGCGGGCTGGTATAGAACTTATTTAATGGTCTTCCTGTAGAAAAACTTGGAACAAAGCTATGAAGATGACAAATTTGATCGGCGAATAACGAACAAACAATAATGATATTAATAATAGTAATGATCTCAGACCTATCAGTTTATTACCAATCTTATCCAAAATTTTAGAAAAAATTATAAAGTTCCAATTGACCGCTTACCTAGAAAAATTCTTCATACTTCCCGACACTCAATCCGGATTTAGAAAAAATTATGGTACAACATCTGCCCTACTTAATCTGCAAGACAATATTTTAAGTGCCTAAGATAAGAAAATGGCACTAGCCTTAATCTCTATAGACTATTCGAAAGCCTTTGACAGCATCAATCATAAATTATTACTTGCTAAATTACATTACATAGGTCTTGACAGTGTATCCCTTTCATTTTTCGACAGTTACCTTCATCAAAGAACTCAGTGTGTTTTTCTCAATCAGGAAATGTCTCAAGTGACAATAATTCCCTCAGGCGTACCTCAGGGCTCTGTATTGAGGCCGCTACTGTTCCTCATATATACGTTCGACTTAAGCAAAAGTATTTATAATTCTCATGTCCAGTCATTTGCAGATGATACGCAATTGCTTCATTATTTTAACCCAGATAATGTCAATAATACTACTCAAATTTTACAAAATGATGTTAATAAATTAATTAAATACTATTTAGATCACAATCTACTTATTAATCCACAAAAATCTAAAATGTTATTATTTTGCGCACAAAGAAAAACATACAATGTAACAAAGCTCTTGAACATTCAGATAAATAACCAAATCTTGCAATTTTCTGATTCTGCAAAAATTCTTAGCGTTGCTTTTGATACAAAATTAAGGTTTATTGAACATGTTAAAAGTCTATCTCAGAAAACCTACCTACGGCTGCGCACTCTTATAGCAAACAGATATTTACTAAATTTTAAGTTGCGTAAAAAACTATGTGAAGCATTGGTCATATCTATACTAAATTATTGTAATATCGTATACTATACTTGTTCAGACAATTTCACTAAAAACGTTATTCAAGTTATTCAAAACAATTGTATACGATTCATTTTTGGCTTACGTAAATTTGATCATGTATCAGCGAAATATCCCGTTCTAAACTGGTTAAAAATTAATGGCATGGTCAAGTATCGCTATTCTGTTTTTGTTCACAAGTTGCTGCTCACGTCTAAACCTTATTACTTGAAGGAAAAAATTCATTTAATAATGATGTTCACTGTAGAACTCTCAGAGAAAGCAATATTAGAATACCCCTGCATACGTCTACACTTTTTAAACGCAGTTTTTCTTACAATGTTGCTATTATTTATAATGACCTTCCTAAAGTATATAAAGAATTTTCATTACCTGTCTTTCGACAAAAAGTTAAAACATTATTACTCAACCCTCCAAACATATAAATTACGTAATCATTCATTTCTTTTTTATTCCATCTTTAATTCAGATTAATAATTTTTTGGTGCATTTGAGTTTGGAAAGTATAAATTTTTCTCTTTTCTTAAATTTTACTGTCGATGTAATGAACCAAATCTGTTTGTGGATAGTGTATTCTTTTGAACATCTGCTAGAGACTATATGGTTAAGTGTAAGAGTAGCAGCATGCTCTTTGCCATGTTCAGTCTGACATTTGGCTATACTACAATGTAATTGTGGATAAATAAAGACGTCTATTATTATTACTATTATTATTAAAAATTTTTTTTGGTCATGAACCTACGAACCTACGAACTAAATCGAATAAATTTATTTTTTTTGAAGTTAACTGATATTTTTCTCTCGACATTAGGGTTAATTTCATCAACTGCAGCCAAAATTGTGTCTGTAGTCGATTTTTCTTTTCTAAATCCATATTGGCCAGAACTTATAATTTTGTTTTTGTCCAAAAAATTGTAATACCCTATTTTGTACTGGTTTTTGGCTATATTCGTTAGTACTGATACTGGTCTATAATTCCTGTTTCTATTCTGTCACCACATCTATAAACAGGAGTAATACCTAATGTTTTAAACGCATCGGGAGAAATTCCAGATTGTAGACATCAATTAATGACGTAAGAAAGTGGTTCAGCTAAATCGTGGGCTATTATTTTTAAATGCTCAGCCTTGATACCGTGTATATCAGGACTTTTTTTCGCTTTTGAGTGATAGTATAGCTCCTTGTACTCAATTTGGGCTAAAGCTTTCTAAACAGAATGAAGTTGGGTTTTGGAAATATGTCGTTCAAAACATTTTTTTTTATATTGGCTGCTGAATTTTCTCCTCCAACATTAGTGAACACATTTATATCTGTATCATATATGTATCTGCTGATATTGTTCCATCGTCACGCTTAAATTTATGAATATTAGGCTTCACTTGAATCTCTGTTAGTTAACCCTTTCGTCCCGAACGGTACCCATATGTACCAGGCAAATTTAAAAATCCCTGCTTGTGAAATGAAGCATTTTATTTGGAATAAATCTGTACCGGTCCGGTGTATCAGGCTTCCGCAGTGTACCTACAACATGCATTGTGGATATTTTGTGATTATCTCGATTAAGTTAGCACGTGTATGTAGTAGCGGAAGTATTACTCTAATAAAATTAGTTATTTAGGACACTCAAAGTGCTTATTTATGCAGTTTTTTGATGAAGTTCTATTTGCTATTCAACTGTGATTGGTGTTTTTACAAAGGTAGGTCAAAACTATGTTTTATTTTTGTGTTTTTGCGTGTAATATTCGTGTGGTACATATATGTACCATTCGGCATTTATGGTGGTACACATGTATACCAACAGGTCTCTAATTACGTTGATTCAGTTTCAGCATCAATATGGATCGCCGCCATCCGCTTGCACAAAAAGAGCTGGAAGCGCTTATTGAAGATATTGAAGAAATCGCAGATTCGGAACCATGTTCTGCTGACTCCAGTGACAATTATGAACCAGATTCCGATGAAGAAGCAGGCAGTGATACGTCCGATATGTCTAACTCAGACATCCATTTTGCGCCTTCACCACAGGTAACTGTTGGTAGAAACCAAGTTCTTGACTGGGTCATTCCTGATGAAACATTTGAGCCTGCTAAAATCCTTCCTCCTGAAAGAGAATGTAAGCTGGCTCCAGATATCACCAAGCAGTTGTCACCTATGCAGATTTTTCATAAAGTATATCCTCATTCTCTTTATTTGCACATTGCAAATTGTACAAATGAACGCCTAAAAATCATAAACCAATTAAAAAGGAGGAATGAGAATATGTTATGACTGACAAAGGAGAAATACAGAAGTTAATTGGCTGCATGTTCATTATATGCTACAATCGCCTTCCAAGCCTGAAAAATTATTGGAGTAAAAAGGAGTCAATGGGAAATAGCACAATTCAAAAAACTTTTTCAAGAGATCGATACATGACTTTGAGCTCAAAAATGTACTTTGCTTCTCCTCAGAAACCCCCAAATGCTTCAAAAACATATTATATTGAAGATTTGCTGATGAGTAACTGTCATAAACCCAATTTGACAACAATTATCAAAAAAAGCAAAACCGGTGAACAACAAAATATCCAATGTCCAGAGGCCATATCTTTTTACAGAAAAAAAATGCAAGGGGTTGATCGGGCAGATCAATTCATTGGGCTATGTGATCATGACCGAAAATCAGCAAAGTGGTGGAAAAAGGTGAAATGAGACATAAAAATGAGAATATTTCTTTTCTTTCTTTCCTCACCACAGTTGCAGAAGGATTAATATCTGAAGGTATACAAAATACAATCTTACCATTACCAGAACAAGGCGCCCCTTCAAGAAAAAGAAAATTATATGGTGCATCAGCATTACATCTTCCTGTGGATCAACAAGAGGAAGATCCACTAGATGTTCTGAAGAGAAAAAACAAACAAGAACAAAACTCTTTGCGAGGAGTGCAATATTCCATTGTGCAAGTTCTGTTTTATGTTGTATCATACCAAATAGTTATTTAGGTTCATTTTCTTCTTTGCAAAGCTGCTTTTGTATTTTTTTTCTAAATAAATATTCTTATACCATTGTTTTTTCTGTTTTTATGAATTTTCCGATCATACCTGTTGGTACGCATGTGTACCACCATAAATACCTGCTGGTACATATATAAACCACCCCCTCCACCGTTACCTGACCAATGAAAAAAATATATATTAATAAAAACTCATTGTAAGACATCCTAACAATAATATTTTACACTATTTATTATTTGGACTAAGTTATTTGAATTCAGGGACGAAAGGGTTAAGTGATCAACAACCGACCAAAAATTTCTTGGCATCTTGTAATTTTTTCAGATAAAATCTAACTAAATTGATGAAAATATTTTTATATTAATTATATTAATGGACGGTATCTGCACCTGGTGATATTTTCATCATTTTGTGCTTTTCCTCTTTTCACATATAAAAATGACGTCAAGTGGGTTGACTCTATACTTCCTAATGCATTTTAGTATAATTTTCCATGTAATGTAATTTCACCTATAAAAAGTGACATGAAAAAGCTGAAGATTCTGTCAAACTTAATGCACAATGGGGTTTGTCATGGAAAAAAAGTATTTTCATTGACTTTCACTCCAACCTTAACGCGCATATACATATAGGTAGAAAATATCGTGCCTACGACGTCGACTATCACCGTGGTAGCCTAATATTTTTTATGAGGGTCATTTTATAAGTAGGAACCATTCGGTAATGGAGTCGGAGAAGCTTTATGAATATAAATTGTTTCACAAAGTAAAATATTTTTTGTAATTTTTCAACATTTAAACATTTATCAACTGGTGGCAGCAGCTTTTGGATGCAAACCAATTAATAACTGTTTCTTTCAACTTGTCATTATTTCACAAGCACTTTCCATGAAAAAGTTGCTTCAGTTTTGGAAAAAGAAGAAAGTCTGATGATAAACTCAGAGCTGTATGGTGGAT